GCTATTGACATCGTTGGTCCTTTATCTCCACTTTCCTTGCTGGGGGACATAGATATATATTAACATTAGTTGATTATTCTTCGAGATTCCTGAAGCCATACCCTTAAAGACCAAAACCACTTACAGAGGTTGGCTGAAGAACCTTTTTGTCCAACTTCTCCAGATGGGCATCCCTAGAGAAATTGTTTGGCCGTGGGACACAATACACATCTGACTTAATGCAACATCTATACCAACTTCTGGAGTGAAATCCTCACTTCACCACCACACCCGAATCCATCCCAGCTGTAATGGGAGGATTGAAGCGCCAGCATTCGATTCTCAAGTCCATTTTAAGGAAACTATGCTCCCTTGAAACCTAAGGAGTGGCATCGTTACCTACCCTGTGCTTTGTTTTGCCATGAGGGAAGTTCCCAGTACTCTTGGGGTCTTCACCTTTTGAACTTCTCTATGGTAGACAGCCAGAGGCCCATTGTCCATCCTTATGACTTATGGACTAATAAGGAGGTAAATGCGAGTTCAGTCTTCTTTAACAGTTTCTCCTTGAACTTAGATCCAAACTTGAGGAGACCTCTGAACATAGTTTTCGAAAAACCTAAGCTTTGTCAATGGACCAGTACAAAACCTATTTAGAGTCCAAAAGTCAGAGAGAAGTTTTAAAGTAGGGGTTAAGTTCTTGAACTTTTGCCGACAAGTCAAATAAATTAATTAGTGGAGCATGGAAAAGTCCACAAAGTGTTAAAAATTGTGGGAAAGTTTACTACCTACCTCCAAGAAGTCAAGGGGAAACCTAATCTTACATATCAACTCCTTATAAGAAATATTACCGAAGAATTCGTTTATCTGCCTTAATAACTTTTGACTTAGTTTTTCCACACGAACTTGATACGACAACTGAAGAATAAAAATTGTGCGTAATGACACCTCTAACTTAGACTATGAATGGAAGAACTACCTGACTTGGTGACTCTTGATCTACTCGGGCGCAAACCAACCATTAATATTAATAATCTTTGGATGACCATGAAGAGCATGAACTACTTCTTCAATGTGTGAGTAACTATACAGACGTCATTACAGATATTCCAGGTGTTACCTCTCCACGGTATCCATAAGATTGACTTTAGTGACGGACAATCCTATCAAACGAAAATTATACCCATTCCAGTTCACCTTAAGGATAGCATTTGGAGCCGGAGGTAGACAAATTATTAAAACTAAAGATCATTGAACCTTCAGTATCTTCATATTGTTCACCAGTAGTCATGGTTAAGAAGGAGGATAATTCATATAGACTTGCTATTGACTTCAGAGGCCTTAATGCTATAACTCGGTGGGATGCTGAGCCTATGCCCTTAATAGATAGAGATCTACACAAATTTTATGACTCTTCCTTCTTTTCAGAGACTGATATTGCACAGGCATATCATCAAGTAATGTTAGATCCTTCTTCTAAGCAGTACACCGCTTTTCCTACACACCAAGGACTGATGCAGTATAGAACCATGCCCTTCGGTTTGGTAACTGCCTGTGCTACCTACGTGAGACTGATGAGAAAGGTCGTGGGTAATATGCCAAATGTTTCAGTTTATTTTGATAACATTTACGTAATGACATCCACGTGGGGCGAACATATCCAAACATTAACATCAGTTTGCGTAGGTTACGCTCACATGGCCTCACTGCCAAGCCGAAGAAATGCTTCCTTGGGTATAACAAGAATAGATAACTTGGACTGGTACTTTCTAATAACTCTCTGCAGCCTCTCCCCAGTAAGATCAAAGCTTTATTAGAATTTAAATTCCCCAAAACCAAGAAGCTCATGCGTAGCTTTCTTGGTTCTGTAAATTTTTATGCACGGTTTATCCCGAACCTTACTGATCTTAAAAGCATCTTATCCAACTTCCTTAAAAAGTCTGTGAAGGAACCTCTTGAACTTTCCGACATAGCAGAACTGATGGAGATGGACTAACGTCCTGAAACTTCCCCCTTTTTGGATTTAATTAACTGTGCACCTGTATGAAATTGCAGGTTCAAAGATTCCAGGTTCGAATCCTGGCAAGGTCGCCACTTGTGAAGGCTTACTCAGCCCTGTAACAACTTCAGACAGTATTACCAAGGCTGGCTCCTCCTCAGGAAAATTAGTGAATAGAAAAAGAAATAATAACAGACAAACATAAACACTTTATTATATAGAAAATATTAAACACTTAAATATGAAATATTAATCCTACATTAAAGAAAATGAAAAATGAAAAATATAAATGATAACTGAATTCAACGCTAATATATATAGGGGTGTCTGGTGTTGGTGACACTGAGTGTTGTTGAAATCGTAGCAGTTGCTGATGGTGGGGGGGGTCGCAGGTGTTGGTTACAACCCACCGGTTCGTTCTTCACAGTATAGCCTTGAGTATTCTATCCCGATGACAGGAAAGCAGGTTCTTTACCGCTGCAATGATGAGGGATTACGTCCTGCAATTTCATACAGGTGCACAGGTAATTAAATCCAAAAAGGGGAAGTCTCAGGACGTTAGTCCATCTCCATCAGTTCTGCTCGTTGATTGGCAGGTGACCCTCTCTGTCATCCAAGCTGGAAAGATAGACAGGTTACCCACTGCTTAAGAAATCACTCTCCATGATAAGTACAATACCTAAAAGATGTGGTGATTATTACAACAGTCAACCTAGAGCAAGACTGAAAGGACTAAGTTTATTATTGGTCAAAAGTGAAGCTTTCAACCAATAAATCCACTAGAATACAAGGCAGGCATGTACTTACAGTAGTGCTGGGATGTGAAAATTTGTGTGGACTGCCTCCGAGTCGCCTACCCTGGCAAACTCTGTTGACACTGAGCTCTAAGGTGGGTACCTCAGCCTCACAAGTGGCTTATAGGACAGATTCTCACAAATGATTGATGTTACAAGAAAACCTCGCCTGCATGCACGTATAAAGGACTAACTTGGTGTTGCAGCATATATCCTGATCTTCACTTCTCTAAGCTTAGCCTTAGCCCCTTTGGACTTCCCCTCAGAAACCACGTGCAACCGGGAGCCTTAATTCCTGCAATATTCAATCATAATTAGTGTCCTGCCTGCACCTCAGAAATTCCTATATCCAAGAGGGTATGTATCCCCTAGTATAGCTATGCAGACTCAGACACTAGCTTCCAGACTGCTCTGAGACACTGGTACTTACTGGGCATGCTCAACCTGTTGCAACCGGGCCCACAGTTGACTCACTCACTCACAAACTCTCCAGACACTGGCCAGAATTCTACGAGAAATAGTGGTCTTGTCTTACTGTATGGGCCTGACAGAGGAGGTCATCTACAGTACATCGAGGTGCCTCTACCAGATTTCCCCAGGTCTCAGATGTGAAGACACGTGGGGGTGCCGTCTGCTGATCACGGCACGTATTGTCCAGTTGGTGTCTGTCTTAAGCAAGACGCTATTCTGTCTTTGTGACCCACGCCTCGTCATTCAAGCTAGGGCTGCCAGTTCTCCCTAGCTAACTTATCCTAGTGTTTGCCTACATTATCGGCCTATTACTACCTATGTTCAGGTCTTAGGTCTACATTATTATTATCTACAGTTGCCTTAGTAACCTAATATTAATATACTAACAGTAAAACTACCTACTCCTTCCCTGAAGAATAAATCTGTAAATTAAATACATGCCTACCAAGAATCCATCGCCGACCAGAGAGAATGCTTTCATGTTTGGGTGGGGTATAAGGGCCATCCAGCTCAGCCGTCCCATACGGCCATGCTGGATCTGTCCTGTGGAACTTTAGGGACCAAATAAATTTCCACATGGGAGCTGTGAGTCTAGTGATTACTGTTGGACTGGAGCCCCACACGTCACCTTTTGGGGGGGGGGGAGAAGGAGGGGTAGGGATAGCGGGAGCTTGACTTACCCTACCTTAACAAGTAGCCGGCAATGAAACTATTGTTACTATATACTCCCTCTCTACTCCTATCTATTGAACTTTTCCCTCACAGTTAAACTAATATAATCTATACAGTCCACAATTAATTAGTAGCGCCGTACCTGCGGGTGCTATCTGTCATACTGGTCTCGGATAGATATGGGTATAATTGTGAGGTCGAAGGAGCTACCTGCAGTGACCATGGGTGGCTAAGTTTTCTCACATGTCTACACGGGGTGACTACGGTAAACAATATGGTTGTTGTCTCCCAATGAGATTACTTGTATGCATGTAATGTTTAGGTACATATCGGTAACCCCTATAAAATTTTCCATATTTAGTATTAATCCAGGAATGAAGGAGAGTGAGGCTGGAGCCTCTGCCTCCTCCTCCTTTTCCTCCTCCTTTTTTCTCCTCCTCCTTTTCCCCTTCTCCTCCTTTTCCTTCTCCTCCTCCTTTTGATTTTTCGTATAACCAGTTTTTTCCAAGCGTGTATCTTGATGCAGGTGTAGGGCTCTTCATTCAAGGAACTAGAGGTACCCTTCCTTTCCCCGGGATTAAACCTGGTTACCTTCTGTATCCTAGTGTTTTAACCCCCCTACGGGCTTACCGCTCGCCCATCAACAAAAAAATTCGTTAGACATATTTTCTCGAATTTTAATTTGTTTCAAAAAGCACGTGAATGAAAGTCTGGCTCAGCCAGAGTGAAACAGCTGGTAACTGCCCGTCTTGTGGTGTAGTAGCTGTCTCTACATGACAATAAGATCGGAGTCACTACTATTGGAGATTGCATAAACCCCCTACAGGTTTAGTGCTTCCCGTGAAAAAACGGGAATGCTTATAAGTTGCCGTTTTAATCATGGGGAAACGCTAAACCTGTCGGGCATACTGGAGGTAACTGGGTTTGTTTCAAGGGAGAGGAGGGGGTGCTCAAATTCTCAGGATCAAGAGCCTCTCACCAACATAACAATTTAAATATAGAAAAACATTTGCATATGTGTCAGATAAAGTATATACAAGTTAATGAAAGTGTTAATAATAATGTATATTTTAGTATATACACACTGATTTAATTAATAATTTATTATGTGAACCAAATATTTAATATATACAATCCAGAGTTCACTGAAAATATACATAATACCCAGCGGTTATCTTAATGTATATTAAAGCATATCTTAAGCCATATTAAATCATACTAGGATATAATGTGATATTCCAAGACTTCTAATGACATCTTGTGGTTTCATGACATCTTGAGACATCTATATTATATTAGATCATAAACATCTTAAATCTTACAAGCATCTTAAACTTCTAAAATCTCACAAGCTTCATAAACATCTTAAATCATCTTACAGCATCTCGTCACACCTTTCAGCCTTTCAAAGAAGTATCGTAATTTTATTACATGTCAAGAGATGTGCAGGAAAGACGGGGATAGGCTGGTAAAGAAGGTCTTGTGATGTCTGTCTTCTTGTTTCTTTCATAAGAGTGGTCGTAAAGAAGGTCTTATCCCTCTCTATATCTTCTTGCTTCTACACTCACGACCAATCATTGTGCTCCTATCTACTTCCTGCTTTATCAGAGAAATAATAAAAATTAGTAGTAATAATTAGAAAAAATCAAGGGACATTACCCATACTTTGAGAATGGTATTACTAAAAACTAAGAATATAAGAAAGTAGGAACACTGGAATAGGCCTGTTGGCCCATACTAGTCAGGTCCTTCACAAATCCAACCCATTAACTTTATTATAATCATGGGGAGCGCTAAACCCGTAGGATTATACAGCGCAAGTGGAGGGAATGGGAGGCATTCAGGCTCAAATCAGAGAACTGGAGCACAGATCCAATTCCCTAGATCAAGAGCCCCTCACCAGCGTCAAGGAACCTCCCTTGAGAGGTAACCCACTAACAGAATAAACGCTGCCCAAGCAATAAGCTTCGACAATTCTATTCTCTCACGTGCAAATCCCACTCAAATCCAACCCCTCTCACTCGTGTATTTATCCAACCTAACACGACAACCACTATTGAGAACCGACAGTGTGTTTATACTTCTGTATATTCAATGTTCATTATCTCTTCATATCTTATTTGTCATTTTCTCTTCTCTCCTGCACAAAGTAATTATTACTTACTACTTTGAGAAGATTAATTTATAGTTAGTCCTGTACGCCTTTGAAGACCTGAATAAAAACAGAAAATGGGAAGCTGAATTACAAATAGAAAAATGAGAATTTTTTTTTAAATACAGCGTTAACTCAGTTTTACAGTCTAGGCTTGATTTGTTAGTCTAATTTGATGCAGTGTGGTGTTTTATTGTGAAGAAAAAGCAAAAAATACAGGACGAAGTGGGTGTTACAAGGCAGAGCAAATCTGTGTCTCACCTTACGATCATTCAGTGGCTGCAGTGGTCTGTAATTGTCCATCATTGGCGCTCCGTTTTCAAAATCTATACTCCTAAACGCATCCATCTGTGACGAAAAAAATAACATCTCATTATTGCCATTAACAACATTTCTATAACTACGTTAACATCAACTATTAGCTGGAGACGGTACCTGAACGCTGGAGACGGTGATTGGATTAGCGAAGACGGTCCAGGTAACGACTTCGTTACACCCCGGTGTGGTTAGCGAGCCCTGGTAGCGATAGAACTCTCTGGTCTCCCGGGGGATGATGTTTATTAGCGGGAAGCTGGTGATGGTGGCCGTACTGCCTGTAAAGTAGTGGTGATTTGAGTTAGAAGTGGTGGACTGTCCAGTGGCCTGGTAGGCAACGCTCTTGCTTTACAGTATCCGTGGCTAGATCTCCAGGAACGGTGGAAACATTGGGCGTGTTTCTTTACACCTGTTATCCCGTTCACCTAGCAAGCAAGTAGGTATTTGGGTGTTAGCCAGTTGGTGTGGGTCGCATCCTGGGGGCAGAGATTGAGGACCCCAATGGAAATAAGAGTCCCTCGATGATGCACCGTCTTTCTTGGGTTATCCTGGGTGGCTAACCCTCCAGAGCTGAAACTACGAGCAATATCTTATCTTAATAGTGGTGGTAGAGTTAGTATTGGTGGTAACTGCAGAGGCAGTGACAAGAGCTATAGTATCAGTATTAGCAACAGCAGTATTAGTGCTAGTAATAATAACAGTGGTGGTAATAGTAATTACAACTGTAGTAGTTTTAAGTTTAAATACACACACAACATATATATATATATATATATATATATATATATATATATATATATATATATAATATATATATATATATATATATATATATATATATATATACGTATATATATATATATATATATATATATATATTTTATATATATATATATATATATATATATATATAATAAATATATATTTTTTTTTTATTATCACACTGGCCGATTCCCACCAAGGCAGGGTGGCCCGAAAAAGAAAAACTTTCACCATCATTCACTCCATCACTGTCTTGCCAGAAGGGTGCTTTACACTACAGTTTTTAAACTGCAACATTAACACCCCTCCTTCAGAGTGCAGGCACTGTACTTCCCATCTCCAGGGCTCAAGTCCGGCCTGCCGGTTTCCCTGAATCCCTTCATAAATGTTACTTTGCTCACACTCCAACAGCACGTCAAGTATTAAAAACCATTTGTCTCCATTCACTCCTATCAAACACGCTCATGCATGCCTGCTGGAAGTCCAAGCCCCTCGCACACAAAACCTCCTTTACCCCCTCCCTCCAACCTTTCCTAGGCCGACCCCTACCCCGCCTTCCTTCCACTACAGACTGATACACTCTTGAAGTCATTCTGTTTCGCTCCATTCTCTCTACATGTCCGAACCACCTCAACAACCCTTCCTCAGCCCTCTGGACAACAGTTTTGGTAATCCCGCACCTCCTCCTAACTTTCCAAACTACGAATTCTCTGCATTATATTCACACCACACATTGCCCTCAGACATGACATCTCCACTGCCTCCAGCCTTCTCCTCGCTGCAACATTCATCACCCACGCTTCACACCCATATAAGAGCGTTGGTTAAAACTATACTCTCATACATTCCCCTCTTTGCCTCCAAGGACAAAGTTCTTTGTCTCCACAGACTCCTAAGTGCACCACTCACTCTTTTTCCCTCATCAATTCTATGATTCACCTCATCTTTCATAGACCCATCCGCTGACACGTCCACTCCCAAATATCTGAATACGTTCACCTCCTCCATACTCTCTCCCTCCAATCTGATATTCAATCTTTCATCACCTAATCTTTTTGTTATCCTCATAACCTTACTCTTTCCTGTATTCACCTTTAATTTTCTTCTTTTGCACACCCTACCAAATTCATCCACCAATCTCTGCAACTTCTCTTCAGAATCTCCCAAGAGCACAGTGTCATCAGCAAAGAGCAGCTGTGACAACTCCCACTTTGTGTGTGATTCTTTATCTTTTAACTCCACGCCTCTTGCCAAGACCCTCGCATTTACTTCTCTTACAACCCCATCTATAAACATATTAAACAACCACGGTGACATCACACATCCTTGTCTAAGGCCTACTTTTACTGGGAAAAAATTTCCCTCTTTCCTACATACTCTAACTTGAGCCTCACTATCCTCGTAAAAACTCTTCACTGCTTTCAGTAACCTACCTCCTACACCATACACTTGCAACATCTGCCACATTGCCCCCTATCCACCCTGTCATACGCCTTTTCCAAATCCATAAATGCCACAAAGACCTCTTTAGCCTTATCTAAATACTGTTCACTTATATGTTTCACTGTAAACACCTGGTCCACACACCCCCTACCTTTCCTAAAGCCTCCTTGTTCATCTGCTATCCTATTCTCCGTCTTACTCTTAATTCTTTCAATTATAACTCTACCATACACTTTACCAGGTACACTCAACAGACTTATCCCCTATAATTTTGCACTCTCTTTTATCCCCTTTGCCTTTATACAAAGGAACTATGCATGCTCTCTGCCAATCCCTAGGTACCTTACCCTCTTCCATACATTTATTAAATAATTGCACCAACCACTCCAAAACTATATCCCCACCTGCTTTTAACATTTCTGTCTTCATCCCATCAATCCCGGCTGCCTTACCCCCTTTCATTTTACCTACTGCCTCACGAACTTCCCCCACACTCACAACTGGCTCTTCCTCACTCCTACAAGATGTTATTCCTCCTTGCCCTATACACGAAATCACAGCTTCCCTATCTTCATCAACATTTAACAATTCCTCAAAATATTCCCTCCATCTTCCCAATACCTCTAACTCTCCATTTAATAACTCTCCTCTCCTATTTTTAACTGACAAATCCATTTGTTCTCTAGGCTTTCTTAACTTGATAATCTCACTCCAAAACTTTTTCTTATTTTCAACAAAATTTGTTGATAACATCTCACCCACTCTCTCATTTGCTCTCTTTTTACATTGCTTCACCACTCTCTTAACCTCTCTCTTTTTCTCCATATACTCTTCCCTCCTTGCATCACTTCTACTTTGTAAAAACTTCTCATATGCTAACTTTTTCTCCCTTACTACTCTCTTTACATCATCATTCCACCAATCGCTCCTCTTCCCTCCTGCACCCACTTTCCTGTAACCACAAACTTCTGCTGAACACTCTAACACTACATTTTTAATCCTACCCCATACCTCTTCGACCCCATTGCCTATGCTCTCATTAGCCCATCTATCCTCCAATAGCTGTTTATATCTTACCCTAACTGCCTCCTCTTTTAGTTTATAAACCTTCACCTCTCTCTTCCCTGATGCTTCTATTCTCCTTGTATCCCATCTACCTTTTACTCTCAGTGTAGCTACAACTAGAAAGTGATCTGATATATCTGTGGCCCCTCTATAAACATGTACATCCTGAAGTCTACTCAACAGTCTTTTATCTACCAATACATAATCCAACAAACTACTGTCATTTCGCCCTACATCATATCTTGTATACTTATTTATCCTCATTTTCTTAAAATATGTATTACCTATTACTAAACCCCTTTCTATACAAAGTTCAATCAAAGGGCTCCCATTATCATTTACACCTGGCACCCAAACTTACCTACCACACCCTCTCTAAAAGTTTCTCCTACTTTAGCATTCAGGTCCCCTACCACAATTACTCTCTCACTTGGTTCAAAGGCTCCTATACATTCACTTAACATCTCCCAAAATCTCTCTCTCTCCCTCTGCATTCCTCTCTTCTCCAGGTGCATACACGCTTATTATGACCCACTTCTCGCATCCAACCTTTACTTTAATCCACATAATTCTTGAATTTACACATTCATATTCTCTTTTCTCCTTCCATAACTGATCATTTAACATTACTGCTACCCCTTCCTTTGCTCTAACTCTCTCAGATACTCCAGATTTAATCCATTTATTTCCCCCCACTGAAACTCTCCTACCCCCTTCAGCTTTGTTTCGCTTAGAGCCAGGACATCCAACTTCTTTTCATTCATAACATCAGCAATCATCTGTTTCTTGTCATCCGCACTACATCCACGCACATTTAAGCATCCCAGTTTTATAAAGTTTTTCTTCTTCTCTTTTTTAGTAAATGTATACAGGAGAAGGGGTTACTAGCCCATTGCTCCCGGCATTTTAGTCGCCTTATACGACACGCATGGCTTACGGAGGAAAGATTCTTTTCCACTTCCCCATGGACAATAGAAGAAATAAAAAAGAACAAGAGCTATTTAGAAAAAGGAGAAAAACTTAGATGTATGTATATATATATATGCATGTGCGTGTCTGTGAAGTGTGACCAAAGTGTAAGTAGGAGTAGCAAGATATCCCTGTTATCTAGCGTGTTTATGAGACAGAAAAAGAAACCAGCAATCCTACCATCATGCAAAACAGTTACAGGTTTTTGTTTAACAGTCATCTGGCAGGACGGTAGTACTTCCCTGGGTGGTTGCTGTCTACCAACCTACTACCATTATTATATATGTACATAAATAATCTTAACCTTTCCTAATTACCAATATAACAGTTAAGATTATAAGGCTCACACACGTAAATCAAGACCATTGCCCACCTTCAAGTTCGTGTACGCACACTAATAAAGTCATAAAACAGTTTCAGAGAGATTATGGCAATGTTACTTTACTACACAAGTGAACACTGTATATACTGTAGATGTCTTTTATAAATGTTAAACATTCACATTAAAATGGCAAATGCTATCCTTCAAAACTATTGTGGTTAAACAGCTAAAATGATACTATAGTGCACTGTATATGCTTTTATGTTGATTATGAAACAATGATGTTCATATGATGGTTGACGATGGTGACCCTCAAGTATAAGATACAAGACCTATGTACAGTAAATACAAGAGAAAATTATACAAATATTAAATAAGATAATTTACAAATAAATCAATAATACTGCCAATCCACACTTCAGAATGATATGCTACCAACAGATATATTGGATTTGATGAATGACATTTAAAAACAATTTGCTATCATCCAGTGATCCAAGTATCTCTGGGTAAATATATATATACACACATTTTTATATGCATAAATTTTGGTATAAAATCTATTTAAATACATTAACATTTAAAAGCTATTATTTCTCTCTAACCTGATATTTTCTATCTCTCTCACCTGGTTCCTTGATGCTTGCCAACCCTTGCACAATGTTGTCCAGCAGGACATTGTCAGCGTCACTCAGCTGTAGCAAGACTCCCAACACTGCCACTCCGTCGGGATGGTTGAGAGCCTCGTCTATGCTCCCGTACTCACTCTTATAGTGGACCAAGTGAAGCTCATTGGCGTATCTGGCGGTGGTAGAGACTGGTGTTTAGTGTCGGGGTTATTGGTCTTTGAGTGGTAGTTGTGAATAGTGGTTGGATTTGTGATTGCTCTGGTAGTGGTCAGTGTTGATGTCATTATTAGTTGGTGGCGATGTAGCTGAAGGTGGCGTGTTGGTTATCGTTTGATAGGTGGCTGTTGTGGTAGCTGATTGTGGTGGAGAAGAGTCGAAATAGCTGTAGTTTTATTCCCACTTTTCTCAATCTATTTTACGCTTTGCTTCCACTGTGGTGCAGTTGAACAACTTTCACTCACCTCACAGAGTTTATGGTATGTTCTGATCCTCCCACAGCATCGTCGCTACCCCAGTGGAAGTGGAACTGCGAAAAGACGTATTCTCCACCTAAACTTCCTCCACTAATAGAAGCTGCTAATTCTGGAGAGGAAACCTGAGCTGTAGAAAGAGGAGAATGCAGTGATGAAGGGATTTTTTAGTTAATTCGATTGCTTTATTTTGCATCTTATACCCAATCTGTCAGCGGTAGTCCAAAATATCACTGTATAAACCACGGAACGGGTAGGGGTTGTACCCATGGCGAGCGAGTTAAAACTCCTGTCAGTGCAACTCACTAACCATGGGTACCAACTTCACTTGTCCGCTGGGTTGTCTACAATTATGTGATTACTATTTCGCGAGTATCAATGTGTACAACACTGTTAGGTTGATTTAGACATGCGCAAAACCTAGGTCTCTTCACTGACAAAATGCTTCGCCTACACAGAAGTCTTCGACAGTCGAAAACAAAGATGGCTGCAATACTAAAGACAGAAAGCAAAAAGGTTTCACCAAAAAAGATGCCAAGTGTTGCGGTGGTCGACAAACAACAGAGGGAAATAGTGGGACAGTGGGTCCAGGGGCTGGTCCTCACCATTTATGTTAGCTAAACATGGCACAGTAGCAATGAGCTAATTAGAAATTAATTGGCATAGAATCAATAGCAATAAATTGTGTTGGGAAAATTAATGAGGAAGGGAGTGGGAGGGAGAGGGGTTACTGGACAAAAAAATCAGTAAATAGGCACCACTACGTTAGCCGACTGTTTTAGTTCGTATTCCGTCTTTCGGTGGCTGCGCTTTCTGGGGTAGGTTAGGTTAGGCAATGTTTGTCAGGAAACATGACAAGTGTTTCCTGACACGGGTCTTATGTAATGACCCGCCGCTGGAGCTTTTGGTCATCTGACCGAGGCCTTCTTCTGGCTTTCCAGTCCGCCCCTTCAAAAATTATGGTCAATTATAATTATTTAGTTGATCTGTCTCACGTATCCAGTAACTACGTTTTCGTATCATTCCAAAATTCCGCAAACAAGGAAACACTTGTCCTTACTAAAATTGGTACTTAAATTAAATCTAGTTCTAACCTCTCATTAAGATACAAACGTTTTTGGAGTTTTAAAAACTGATCAGAAACTCTAAGCTTAAACTATCACACCGAAACTAGTTTCACAATTATGCAGTAACACTGGCAAATTTGCACTACACAGTCAGAAATTAACCTGAACCTTCCTACGTGTTAGATGTCTCACCGTTTTAAGTTTAAATCAATTCAGATATCGTATATATAAAATACGCCTAATTGGGAAATTTATTTCTTCACGGTCCAATAATATGAACGTTCCTTGCCGTAGGACACGCTGTTCAAAGTCTGAAACCGATCAGAAGAGGCATTATCCAGGCATCGCACAGTAACTTATATTCAAGTTTATTCAATGGAATTTGAAAATTGTTACTTACTCAGGAAAATAATCTGATTCCCTTCAAGAAACCCCATTGATGACACTGATCTAAGTTCGAAACTGATCAGAAGGGTCATTCTCAAGATGTCACATGAAAAAAATCCGGCAGTCACTATAGGTATCCGCTTCTGGGAAGACCTAATGTATACCCTTTTGAGGGAAACCTGATATATCCCCTTTGTGAGAGATGCAATATATCCTCCTGGGCAGGGCCGGATTACCGCATAGGCAAACTAGGCATTTGCCTAGGGCCCCGCGCATTTGGGGGCCCCACGGTCCAAGGGGTTCAGGGGCTCATCCAAGACTGCGCACATGATGCAAGTCCAAAGGGGTCCCTACCTAAAAAGTTCAAGTGTTTGGAGAGTAAAATTGATTTTTAAAAATTAATCAAAACAAAAATAAATAATGAAATAAAATAAAATAAAAATAAATAAACCTAACCATAGATGGCAACACTCAACACGCCTTTGTTTACATCAGAACAGCTGTGTTTTCCCGCTAATGGGTGAGTATGGGAGATTCCTCTCCAATTTTCTGTATTAATTACACGTTATCTAGACTTGTACTGTGACAAATTAGCTGAAGTGTTGTTGATAGACATTGATGTGTATGGATAAATATTTGTTTTCGCCTCTAAATGTTAAGGGAGGTACCTGATAGGGTCACTTGACCAGTAAAGACGCATGGACCAGTAAAGACGCATTTTTGGTAAAAATACAATAAAGAAAAACCTAAAAACGCAAACTGACTTCCGTTTGTAGGTTTTAAAAGCACTTTGTCCTGTCTTTAAGTCTTTATCATTTCAATAACAGATCTCAATTGATATTTCACATACAGATCAATTGACATTCATTGTTCGCTTTGTCGACTCCAGTGGTAAGCCTGTAGAGCGCTTTATAAAATTCATTCCTCTTTCAGGCCATGATGGAGAAACAATGATGAATGTAGTACTGGATACTCTGCTTGAACATGATCTCTCTGTTATGGATTGCCGTGGCCAGAGCTACGACAATGCAAGTAACATGTCGGGTAAATATAATGGATTGCAAGCCCGTATCAAGCAAATCAACCCACTTGCTGAATATGTGCCCTGCTCAGCACATTCTCTTAATTTTGTTGGGTCATGTGCTGCGGAGTGTTGTGTCGCTGGAGTTTCATTTTTTTGGACTTTTACAAGCACTCTTTAATTTTTTCTCTGCTTCAACGCATTGGTAGAGTATACTCAAGTCAACCATTCATGGAGATGTCATCAAATCATTATCAACAACCAGGTGGTCAGCGCAGCATGATGCAACACATGCTTTGAAAGACAGCTCTGCTGAAATACGTTCTGCTTTGATCCAAATAGCAGAGGATGAAGACCAGACAGCAACTACAAGAAGCGAAGCAGCCAGCTTAGCATCAAAATTGGAAGATTTTGAATTGGCCTTACTCTGTGTGCTTTGGGACTGTATACTGGAACGGTTAAATGCCACGAACAAGACACTTCAGAAAATTGAAATTGAAATGGCTACTTGTGCTAACCTCTATGCAGGCTTAGTGGAATTTGTAAGCTCACTTCGCAATGATGAAGCTTTTGAAATGTTTGAAGAGAAAGCTAAACTGCTGGTGAAAGACTACAGTTACCGGGCTGATCATCAGCGGTCAAGGAAGAGGAAACGCAATTTTGAAGAGCCAGACAATGAAATTGTGTTGCTACCAAGGCAGAAATGTAAGACAGCTACATACTTCGTCATTCTGGATTCACTGATTACAGAATTGGTGAAAAGAAAAGAAATCTACCAGAATCTCAATGACAAGTTTGGATTTCTGTTCAAAATTACTACTATGCCAGATGCAGAATTGAAGAAGCTGCATTAAAGTTGCAACAACACCTTTCAGCAGATGTTCAGGACACATTTGTTGAAGAAATAGTTCATTTTTCTGGGTATATGAATCAGATTAAAGCTGCACCTGAAAAATGTGCGCCCTCAGCTGCTTTGAAACATTTAAGAAATGCAGGTATCTCAGAAACCTTCCCTAATGTTGACATAGTGTATCGCCTTTACCTAACACTTCCAGCTACTAACTGTGAAGGAGAACGTTCATTTTCTGTTTTGAAAAGAGAGAAAAACCAGCTCCGTTCAACAATGAGCCAAGACAAATTGTGTAACCTAGCCTTGTTGACCATTGAGTCTGATCTAGCAAGAAATATTGATTTTCAGAATATAATTGATGATTTTGCCAATATGAAATCCAGAAAAAATTTTATTTAAGAAGTGCCTGTGAATATAAACAATTCTTTACTTTCTTGAGTTTATATGATTTGATAGTCTTATGCATGATGCAATGATAACAATAATGGTCAGTGATTTATAAAGGGAATAATAGTGCTGTAGTGGTTATGCTGAATATAATAGGTACATGATGTCACTACTTTAATAGCCTAATCTAGTAATACTATGCTGTCTTGAGTTTATTCTCTTTAAAATGCATGATTTAACAAGATAGTTATAATGGCTGTTGGTAAATGGTTTTGGTTGTCTTGATGTACTTTCCCTTAAACAGGCTCACACCAACCCCCCCACCCCCAAGCTGGAAGGGGTCGCTTCGCTTACCCGTAACTCAAAGGGGCCCCGCCAATCTGAATAGCCTAGGGCCCGGAGACTTCTTAATCTGGCCCTGCTTCTGGGGGAGACATGGTAAACTACACTTCTTGACTTTCTTGGATTATCCAAAAAATATCTTTTTCAAATTTAATTAGAAGTGATGCTGCAAGAGAAAAGACAGGGAAACTGTCCAGGCAGCCAGAATTAATGACTGATAATATAAGATTAGACAAGCGAATGGCAGACTTTTAGAAGACATACTTAGATAACTTAATGTTACCAATAAGTCCATCACGTTTGATGTAGAATGTCATTATGCCTAAAGAACTAACTATATTTTAGTACTATAATATTTAAGTGATCCACATATCCTAAATACCTTCATCCCAAGGTGCACAGTTATACCTAGCGGCAGGATACCTGAGTGACCGTTGTTGGTGATGGTCATGGTGAGTGGAATGGAGTCGTAGTTATGGAATTGAATTCGGGGCCATGGTTCGTCCCCCACGGCGAGCCAGGTGAAAATATTGATGGGCGATTGACTGCTGCCTCCACACTCTGGATAGTGGTCAGCCCAGTGCTCGGGACCTGTGAGCACAAATGCATCCAGCTGTGGTAATACAATGGTAGAATACATCGGACATGTAAATAACGCAGAATATGCGGTTCATGGTATTTTATTTATGAAGTTCCATCAGCCAGAAGAACTGATAAAGGCCCTCTCCCCCATGTTGGGCGAAACGTCTTCATAAAATGAAATGTTATAACCTACATACTGTGTCTTACACCCTCTGTACAAGACCAAACAATCTCTACAAACCACCTTCCGCTCATGGATCATACCTTTGATACCACTGCACCTTCTTCTAAAATCTTCACCCCTTTATCAACTGATCTCTGACAAATTTTTCACTCATTCCAGACTCCTCCTTGATGAAACATTAAAAAAAAAAATTTCATACCCAAACATAAGCATGTACACCGATACTTTTGAAGATACGTGGGCACATCTTACCTACCGTCACCTGCTCGTGGGCGCTCTACACATACTCCAGAGACTCGTCGTATATCACTGTCACACATTAGTGGATGCTGATAGATTTTAGAGTATAAATATATTGCATAGTATGTTATATAGTATGCTTTTCCCATGAGCTCAACTTGCTTTTAATTCACCACCGGAGAGAGGAAAAAAAAGTCACAATATAACCCCGATCCTTCCCTCCCACTTACCCTTACATCTCAACACACTCATTCCCTTCCGACGACCCTCCATCGAAGGAACAGGAAAAGCACTCACCATTGGCTCCATCTTCGTAGCTCCAGTCTTCGGAACCTGTGGGCCAGAAACACCAAAGTTAATGAGGGTAAACTATGGCAATACAATAATAAATCTCCATTGTTTATTATTGCGATAATTAGATAACTAATTAAACGAAGCTTTTTTTTGAGGATTTAGCTGCACCATGCATATAAATATAAGAATTAATGTTGTATTCTAAACACAAATTATCATAATTTTGAATCAAACTTTCCCTAAACTGCAATTTAGTGAAAAAAATGATCTAATTCTTATTCATAACTTTTTTAATTTATAAAAATTATGAAAAATATTTCAATGACCCACAGCCTCGGAGAAGTGTAAATAACGGGGATCCACAGCCTCGGAGAAGTGTAAATAACGGGGATCCACAGCCTCGGAGAAGTGTAAATAACGGGGATCCACAGCCTCGGAGAAGTGTAAATAACGGGGATCCACAGCCTCGGAGAAGTGTAAATAACGGGGATCCACAGCCTCGGAGAAGTGTAAATAACGGGGATCCACAGCCTCGGAGAAGTGTAAATAACGGGGATCCACAGAATCGGAGAAGTGTAAATAACTGGGATAATATATGGATTTCTCCCTGAAATTTTGGTGGAAATGAGAAGTTTTTCTTATTTTTGAAGGGCATTGTCTTATTATATTCATGGGGAAATACTAAACCCGTAAGGGGTTCATACAGAGCCTGAGGAAGTGGGAGGTAAGATAGCTTGCTCCATGTTAAATTACTGTAGTTTACGAGAGAGGTCAGGTCACTTGGTAATCACTTAATGTTTGCGTAACAACTGTCTTCAACACATCGAAACAGGACGACTACTCGAAGTATGGAAGACAGCAAATGTAGTCCCAATTTTTAAAAAAAGGAGACAGACACGAAGCATTGAACTACAGACCAGTGTCACTGACATGTATAGTATGCAAGGTCATGGAGAAAATTATCAGAAGTGTGGTGGAGCACCTAGAAAGGGAGCTTATCAACGACAGCCAGCACGGTTTCAGGGACGGGAAATCCTGCGTCATAAACCTACTAGAGTTCTATGACAGGATGACGGCAGTAAGACTTGAGAGAGAGGGGTGGGTAGATTGCATTTTCTTGGACTGTAAGGCGTTTGACACAGTTCCATACAAGAGATTATTGCGGAAGCTGGAGGACCAAGCAGGGATAACAGGGTAGACACTACAGTGGATCAGGGAATACCTGTCAGGAATACAGCGAGTCATGGTACCTGGCGAGGTGTCAGAGTGGGCGCCGGTAACGAGCGGGGTGCCACAGGGATCAGTCCTAGGACCGGTGCTGTTTCTGGTATTTGTGAACGACGTGACGGAAGGAATAGACTCCGAAGTGTCCCTGTTTGCAGATGATGTGAAGTTGATGAGAAGAATTCAATCGGACGAAGACCAGGCAGAACTACAGAGGGATATGGACAGACCGCAGGCCTGGTCTAGAAACTGGCTCCTGGAGTTCAACCCCACCGAGTGCAAAGTCATAAAGATTGGGGAAGGGCAAAGAAGACCACAGACGGAATACAGTCTAGGGGGGTCAGAACCTACAAACCTCACTCAAGGAAGAGGATCTTGGTGTGAGTATAACACCGGGAACATCTCCTGAGGCAGACATCAATCAAATAACTGCTGCAGCATATGGGCCCCTAGCAAACCTAATAACAGCATTCCGACATCTAAATAAGGAGTAATTCAGGATCCTGTACACTGTGTACGTTAGGGACCCACATCTAGCCAAGCACGTGAGGAAACTAGAGAAAGTGCAAAAGGTTTGCAAAAAGACTAGTCCCGGAGCTAACGGGTATGTCATACGAGGAGAGGTTAAGGGAAATCGACCTGACGACACTGGAAGACAGGAGAGTTAGGGGGATTATGATAGCGACATATACAATACTGAAAGGTATAGACAAGGTGGACAGAGACAGGATGTTCCAGAGATGGGACACAGCAACAAGGGGTCACAGTTAAAAGTTGAAGAATCAGATGAACCACAGGGATGTTTGGAAGTATTTCTTCAGTCACAGAGTTGTCAGGAAGTGGAATGTTCAGCCTGGGTAGTGATGTAATGGAGGCAGGATCCATACATAGTTTTAAGAAGAGGTACGATAAAGCTCACGGAGCGGGAAGAGTGACCGGGTAGCGTCCAGGTGAAGAGGCGGGGCCAGGAGCTGTGAATCAATCCCCGCAACCACAACTAGGTGAGTACAACTAGGTGAGTACAACTATATACTTGCTAAATTTGTAACGTCCTCCTCATACACCATGTATAAATGTAAGTAACCATTCTTACAGGATTCATTACCTTTGTAACTTGTGAGTTCATTACCTTTGTACCTAGTTCAGCTATCAAAACTTTGGGGGCCCAGTCCCTGGACCCATTACGTACCTCTGTAATCTGTAAATACCTTTGTAACTTGTCATGATTGTGACCAGACCTACCTGGAGTTCATTACCTATGTAAATTGTGACTTCATTACCTTTGTAAATTGTGAGTTCATTACCTTTGTAACTTGCTCAGCTATCAAAACTTTGAGGCCCAGTCTCTGGACCCATTATGTACCTCTGTAATCTTTTGACTACCGCCCACAGGATGGGTATGGGTGCATAATATATTAAACTTAAAACTCCTCATACATCTGCAGCGGTCGCTGGGCTACTAAACTAATCCTAGAGTGAATAATTAAGATGTCCTGAAGCACACTAGGTTCTTGTGGATGCACCGCTTAGTTTTCCTCGTAATGTGGGAAGATATCCCGTCAGATGAGACCATATGTTCTGAGCAGTTACATTTTTAATGTCGCTGATTTTCTATTCTGTGACTTTTAAGACCAGATTTTAGTCAGATTACCCTTCCTGGTCGCAATCTAGTTACTCAGTTTGATGCTGTTAGTCTGTATACACTCGTCACCTACCTTACTGCAGTGTGCTTTGTAATCTAAACTATCAGTCAGCATGGTGCTCCCTGGGTAGCAAGGTATCTACACTAGGCAGTAGCTTGTTCCACTGTTGTCTTTGTCTTCTTGATGACAGGCATATGTGGGTAGTAAGAGTGTGCGTCATTTAACAGAAATGTTAGTCATGTTTCCTTTCGGTCAATTACCGTGTATAGGCTATGAGCTGGTGTGTTGACAACTCATGTTTCAGGCATGAAACAAAGCATCCATGAGGTGTGCTAGTGACCCTCTGTCTTCATTATCTTGGAAAAAAAAAGGATGTAAAACTCCTGTTCGTTAATTAATACCGTATATTTTACGCATAAATTTTCATCACAGACTAAACTATTGCACCAACTTTGAGGTTTTCTTCACGCTTGCACACAGCGCTGTATAACCCTTCTCAGTTTAGCGCTTTCTTTGATTATAATAATTTACTCTTGCACTCTCCCCTACCTACAGTAACCTCAACCCTCGTACACCCATCTCTTACGCACTCTTATCACTGGCACATTCCTAATTTACCACATCCCTCCCTGCACAGCTGAGAGAGATGTGGCAAGATATAGCAATAAAATAGGAAGCTTCAATTTTTTTTCCTTTTGTTTCTAGCGTACAATGGACCATTGGATTATATAATTAGTTTAAGCACAGCGTGCAAGTTTAGTGTGCTGCATGGTAACCATGAGATCCAATTATGTACAAGTCTTGTTTATTTAACGCTGGTGGCAATCTTAAAGTGTTGAGGAGTTTGTTTACGGCGCGCGTTACTTGTAGTGCCTATTCCTACTAAAATATTTTTTTTCCCCGCAGCTGTATGGCCTTTAAGGGTTTAGCGCTTAAGTTGATTATTTCAATGACATATTTTTTGTAAAGGTTTACTTGGAGATTACCTGGAGAGGGTTTCGGGGGTCAACTCCCCTGCTGCTCTGAGATTAGGTGAGTAAATTTATGTAAACATCTGGACATGAGACCACATTCAGTGCTTCTAGTTGTGAAGGCGTCGAATGTTGGAAAAGATGTAGATATTATCAGCATTACGAACGACTCGCAGCAAGTCTTACAGAAGACTAACTGAATTAGTGAGGCTGTGTGTCCAGTGCAACGTACTAGTTGACACCGAAGCTGTTTTGTTTACACAGACATCCCTGGATTAAGGTTAGTCTCCCTTCGACACAGAAGTTGGAAAATAAAGTGTAGGGGTAAAGGCAGTAGATGTGGTAGAATAGTCTGAGGCCCTTCAAATCGTGAGGCTCAATTATAAGTAAGTTTGAGTAGTCGAAATAGGAGAGGAGAGGGTTGATTACTGACCGCTAATAGGCTCTTAACAACCAAGTGGGTTTTTCTAAGAAATAAATCTCATTTTTCCCATCTGAGTACATGGTTGCATTTTTGGCACGAGGGTCTTCAAGGCCGAGGTCCACCAAGTCTAACATGAGGAGATTCGGCCTCTAAAACAGAGAAGACAGAAAATTGTACCTACGATAACGCACACGTTCCCACACACTAATGAACCTCGAAGCTGGACTAGTGAAGATCTGTAGTGATGGATGTCAGCGTGCGCTCCTAAGGTACAGAGAGGTCATCGAGATTCACAGTAGTTCAACCTCCTGATACTTCCACAGGACCTAAACTCGTAGGGTCCAGGTTTAAGAAAAGACTGAGGTTGGCCCCAATTCCCTGAATCATCAGCCGTTCGGAATTAAAGCACCAGTTTTGAAGAGATCTCTCTAGCTCCTGATCCCTCAAGGGAGCTGTACCTGTTCTTCCCTTGGATCGAACCCGATTGAATTCCATTTCCTGGGTGCTTCATGAACCCTCATTCCCTTCTGCTCCAAAGGGTTTAATACTCCACGATTATAATCCAGCTCCTGGGCCCCGTTTCTTACCTACTAACCAGCCGGCGTGTGCCTGGTGCTGTGTTGTGTGAGGTAACCAATACAGTGTTGTTCAAAAGTATTGAGAACTCACCAGTAACAGCGACCGCCAGGACAAGGACCAGGAGAGAGCAATGATGGTAGCTGGACATGGTGGTGGTGGTGTGGGTGAACAATACAATGATACTTGCTGACGACTTTCCTTAATATATTGGTTTTTCCCAGTCCTTCTCACCCCTCCCCCGCTCTTCCGTCGGTGGGTCATCTTATCTACAGGTGGTGGGAAATTAATGCAAATGCTTACTTAGAACATCCTTTTTTTTTTAAAGTGTCCGTCCAGAAGACCTGGATCACTTAATGTTTGCGTAAGTGTAGGGAAAATCAGAAAGGGGGACCTGGGAAGTGGTGTGCCACAGGAGTCAATATCGGGATCCTTCACAATCTGCCTAAGACACGCGTATACGAGAAAATAATTAAGTACATAAGCAAGTTTGCCGACATTAAAATAGGCTGTCAAATTATTGGAGGACACCAACAAGCTACAGGATAATCTAGACAAACTGATGTGATCAGAGAAGTGGCCGATGCAGCACAGTGCGAACAGATGTAAGATTCCAATCACAGAAAGCTTCAAGGTGCCATGATACTACTCAAGGGCTCTTGATCCAAGGAACTGAACCTATTCTTCCTTTGGATGGGAAATGGTTGCCTCCCATTCCCTCACGTGCTGCTTGACCCGTACGGGAGTAAAGTTTCCCCTTAAATATAATAATCATAAAGTTTCCCCTTAAATATAATAATCATAAAGTTTCCCCTTAAATATAATAATCATAAAGTTTCAACTTAAATATAATAATCATAAAGTTTCATCTAACAAAAGTCTTAAGGTTATTAAACCTTACGTATCTCTGGTAAGATAAGATAAGATAAGATAAGATTTCGTTCGGATTTTTAACCCCGGAGGGTTAGCCACCCAGGATAACCCAAGAAAGTCAGTGCGTCATCGAGGACTGTCTAACTTATTTCCATTGTGGTCCTTAATCTTGTCCCCCAGGATGCGACCCACACCAGTCGACTAACACCCAGGTACCTATTTGCTGCTAGGTGAAGAGGACAACAGGTGTAAGGAAACGTGTCGGAATGTTTCCACCCGCCGGGAATCGAACCCGGGCCCTCCGTGTGTGAAGCGGGAGCTTTAGCTGCTCAGATCTGGTCTTTATATTCAAGAATTTACATAAACTTGCTGGGAAGTATACTGATAAAGACGAAATTTATTCCATGTATTAGAAACCTTTCCTACGAAGACCGGAAAAAAGAGCTGAATCTGGAAAGGCTTAAACAAGGGCGGAATATGACTGAAGAGAACAAATAAAAAATAGGAAGAGGATACAAATAATGTGCTGAAAATATCTAAGCAAAACAGTACTCGCAGTAATGGATTAAATTTGTATGTACAAATGTCGCTAAATGTTCCTTACGGATTTAGAGCTACCCTTGTGAGGATCAGGATGTACGAATGGTATAGGGAAGTGTTGGTTGGGCAATAAACAAAGATGCACAAATTTGTGTATATATGCTAGCATACAGTGTGAGTACAACACTTGTACACACTCTGTGTAGCATAGCTACACACTAACACTGTCTGTCTGTCTGCCTCTCTCTCTCTCTCTCTCTCTCTCTCTCTCTCTCTCTCTCTCTCTCTCTCTCTCTCTCTCTCTCTCTCTCTCTCTCTCTCTCTCTCTCTCTCTCTCTCTCTCTCTCTCTCTCTCTCTCCCTCTCTACATATATACATAATAATAATAATAATAATAATCATCTTTATTTCTACAAGTACATGTACAAGGTACACAGACCATAACTGACATCAATGACAAACTACTATATAGAAAGCAGCTTGTTATGCAGAGCATTTCGGGCAAATTAGGTCAATGTGTCCCAGGATGCGACCCACACCAGCCGACTAACACTCAGGTACCCATTTTATTGACAGATGAACAGGGACGGCAGGTGTATTAAGGAAACACGTCCTAATATTTCCAACCATACTAGGGAATGATCGCGTGTGAGCCGAGTACTCTGTGTACTCTCCTAATTGTGGTTGCAGGGATCGATTCATAGCTCCTGGCCCCGGTGTACTCACCTATTTGTACTCACCTATTTGTGGTTGCAGGGGTCGAGTCATAGCTCCTGGCCCCGCCTCTTCGCTGATTGCTACTAGGTCCTCTCTCTCCCTGCCCCATGAGCTCTATCATACCTCGCCTTAAAACTATGTATGGTTCCCGCCTCCACTACGTCACTTTCTAGGCTATTCCACGGCCTGACTATGACTGAAGAAATACTTCCTAACATCCCTTTGATTCATCTGAGTCTTCAACTTCCAATTGTGACCTCTTGTGTCTGTGTCTCTTCTCTGGAACATCCCGTCTTTGTCCACCTTGTCCATTCCGCGCAGTATTTTATATGTCGTTATCATGTCTCCCCTGACCCTCCTGTCCTCCAGTGTCGTCAGGCCGATTTCCCTCAACCTTTCTTCGTAGGACAATCCCCGTAGCTCTGGGACTAGACTTGTCGCAAACCTTTGCACTTTCTCTAATTTCTTGACGTGCTTGACTAGGTGTGGATTCCAAACTGGTGCTGCATACTCCAGTATGGGCCTGACGTAAATGGTATACAGAGTCTTGAACGAATCCTTATGAGGTATCGGAACGGTATCCGTAGGTTTGCCAGGCGCCCGTATGCTGCAGCAGTTATCTGATTGATGTGCGCCTCAGGAGATATGCTCGGTGTTATACTCACCCCCAGATCTTTTTCCTTGAGTGAGGTTTGCAGACTTTGGCCGTCTAAACTATATTCTGTCTGCAGTCTTCTGTGCCCTTCCCCAATCTTCATGACTTTGCATTTGGCAGGGTTAAACTCAAGGAGCCAGTTGCTGGACCAGGCTTGTAGCCTGTCCAGGTCTCTTTGTAGTCCTGCCTGATCCTCATCCGATTTGATTCTTCTCATTAATTTCACATCATCCGCAAACAAGGACACTTCTGAGTCTATCCCTTCCGTTATGTCGTTCACATATACCAAGAACAGCACAGGTCCTAGGACTGACCCCTGTGGAACCCCGCTTGTCACAGGCGCCCACTCTGACACCTCGTCACGTACCATGACTCGTTGTTGCCTCCCTGTCAGGTATTCTCTGATCCATTGCAGTGCCTTTCCTGTTATGTGTGCCTGATCCTCTAGCTTTTGCAGTAACCTCTTGTGAGGAACTGTGTCGAAGGCCTTCTTGCAGTTCTTTGTAAATTGTGAGTTCATTACCTTTGTAAATTGTGAGTTCATTACCTCTGTAACTTGCTCAGCTATCAAAACTTTGGAGTCCAGTCCCTGGACCAATTATGTACCTCTGTAATCTTTTGACTACCGCCCACAGGATGGGTATGGGGTGCATAATAAACATATTAAACTAACTAACTAAGGCCTTCTTGCAGTCCAAAAAAATGCAGTCGATCCACCCCTCTCTCTCTTGTCTTCTGTCACCTTGTCATAAAACTCTAGTAGGTTTGTGACACAGGATTTTCCTTCCCTGAAACCGTGCTGGTTGTCAATTATACACTTGTTTCTTTCCAGGTGCTCCACCACTCTCCTCCTGACGATCTTCTCCATGACCTTGCATACTATACAAGTTAGTGATACAGGTCTGTAGTTTAGTGCTTCATGTCTGTCTCCCTTTTTAAAAATTGGGACTACATTTGCCATCTTCCATACCTCAGGGAGTTGCCCAGTTTCAAATGATGTGTTGAAGATCTTTGTTAATGGCACACACAATATCTCTGCTCCCTCTTTAAGGACCCACGGAGAGATGTTGTCTGGTCCCACCGCTTTCGAGGTGTCAAGTTCGCAAAGCAGCTTCTTCACCTCCTCCTTGGTTATATGTACCTCATCCAGCACTTGCTGGTGTACTCCCCTGTTCTGATTTCCTGGAGTCCTACTGGTTTCCACTGTAAATACTTCTTTAAATCTCGTGTTGAGCTCCTGACATACCTCTCGGTCGTTTCTTGTGAATTCCCCATCACCCTTCCTCAGTCTGATTACCTGGTCCTTGACTGTTGTCTTCCTCCTGATGTGGCTGTACAACAGCTTCGGGTCAGTCTTGACTTTTGATGCTATGTCATTTTCATATTGTCGCTGAGCCTCCCTTCTTATCTGTGCATATTTGTTTCTGGCTCTTCGGCTAATCTCTTTATTTTCCTGAGTTCTCTGTCTTCTGTACCTTTTCCATTCTCTAGTACACCTAGTTTTTGCCTCCCTACACCTTTGGGTGAACCAAGGACTCGTTCTCTTCTTCCCATTATTTCTGTTTCCCTTGTGAACAAACCTCTCCTCTGCCTCCTTGCATTTTGTTGCCACATAGTCCATCATTTCTTGTACTGGTTTTCCTGTCAGCTCCCTCTCCCACTGAATGTCTTGAAGGAAGTTCCTTAAGCCTGAGTAGTTTCCCCTTTTGTAGTTTGGTTTTTCCAAACTTATTCCTGCTACTCTCTCCACTTGGAGCTCAACTATGTAGTCGAAGCACAGAACCACATGATCACTAGCTCCCAGGGGCCTTTTATACATGATATCCTCGATGTCCGAACTACTCAAGGTGAATACAAGGTCCAGTCTTGCTGGTTCATCCTCTCCTCTGTCTCTGGTAGTGTCTCTAACATGTTGATGCATGAGGTTTTCCAGTACCACATCCATCATCTTGGCTCTCCATGTTTCAGGACCCCCATGGGGCTCCAGGTTTTCCAAGTCAATCTCCTTGCGATTGAAGTCACCCATAACTAGTAACTTTGCTCCCCCCATGTGTGCTTTTCTGGCCACCTCGGCTAGTGTGTCGACCATTGCTCTGTTGCTCTCATCGTATTCTTCTCTTGGCCTCCTGCAGTTCTGTGGTGGGTTTACATTACTGCAATTATCACCTTATGTCCCTCAGACTGGTGTACTCACCTATTTGTACTCACCTATTTGTGGTTGCAGGGGTCGAGTCCTAGCTCCTGGCCCCGCCTCTTCACCGGTTGCTACTAGGCCCTCTCTCTCCCCGCTCCATGAGCTTTATCAAACCTCGTCTTAAAACTGTGTATGGTTCCTGCCTCCACTACGTCATTTTCTAGGCTATTCCACTGCCTTACAACTCTATGACTGAAGAAATACTTCCTACTATCTCTCTGACTCATTTGTGTCTTCAACTTCCAATTGTGG